CACCAAATTATCCAAAGTCCCTGGGTCAGCGCCTGCTAGCAGCAGCAGAAGCAACCGTTATCAGGTTGATGAAACTTGCGTTGTGTGCGCAAAAGAACTTCGTGCAAGCTCCACGTCTGGCATGGCTCGTAGTCCACTTGCGGCATGCACTCATCCGTGCTCTGGTTGTCTCCTGCTTGTAAGAAACAACGAATATTATCGACTGCTTGTTTAAATTTTAGCTCTCCCATATAAATGCATAGGCCTGAAGATAATTTATCGAAAGTGCACGTAGGCTCGCCAAACTAGTCTTCTGAATTATGACTTTTTATGAACAGGAGCGGGAACTGCTTGCAATATACGTGGCTTTGCACCAAATTCCGGGGGAATTACGTCTAGAAGTAAAGTAAGGATTAGATTTAAGGTTGAGGTTGAGATCACAATTGGTGGTGTAGAGGCAGGCTTATGTTAGGGGTTGCGGTTCGGGTTCGGGTTCGCGCCAACTGTGGAATTGAGTTTTAAGTTAGGGTTTACCATTTAGTTTGATGAAAGGGTTAGTGTTAGGAAGTAGAATATGCGTAAGCTGGAGTAAGAAGTCTATTTTTCGAATGAATGAAAACGTTCGCGTTCTGTGTATTTACGTGGTCAAGGAAGAAGACGTGTCGAGCACCGGATCAATTGGTTTATTATCCTGAGCTTTCGAACTCTTGCAGGAGTCCATCTTCAGACCTAAGAAGCAGCAACCAAAATGAGGGTAATTAAAATGTGCCAATATAGACCAGTCAACTGTCAGATGTCATCGGGTCGTCAAGGCGTACGAAACATCCACCAAAAAGGATTGGGGGGCGGCAATTATAGTCGTATACGCTAATTAACTGTCAGTGAAATACCGGGTACTCAGATGCCAACTGCGTCAACTGGCATCTAGACCTCCCCGCGGCCTACAAAATCTTACGTCACTATGTGAGCAAAGGATAGGACAAGGCCAAACCGAACGTAAGAATTGCAAGTGAAGAGGACCCTACGGCGAAATGGCCGGGAGGGAAGACAGGACCACCGGGACCCTTTACCCTGGGGACAAGGCATTAAACTTATTGCTGTTTATGACCCCGAACGATCTCCGACTTCACTGACAGTTAATTAGCGTATACCACTATAATTATCCCCGTCCTTTTTGGTTGCTGTTTCCTACCTGATGATCTGATGACCTCTGATAGTTGATTGGCCTATGTCCAGTATAATTATTCTCCTTTTGGTTACTGCTCCTTAATTCTGACGATGGACTCCTGTAAGAGTTCGAAAGCTCAGGACAATAAGCCAATTGATACAGTGCTCGAGAAGTTTAATTGCCTGACGTTTCGGATGCTGGTTTAAACACATCATCAGAGACAACGGCAGAATAGGGCGATCAATGCACAGATTAACCAATCTTTATAGTCCGTAGTGACTATGTGCTCACCTGCGTACCAAAACTAGCAGCTC